TATCATTTTTTTTTTTTTTTTTTTACAGATTTTGGTAATGTTTTGTACTATTGTACTCATTCCTTATTAATTCTATCTCTTGAGATCTCATATGTGTACCAAGTTAGGGCTCAAAACCTAATCTGCTGGAATTATGTGCCACATCTATTCATCCATCATGACATCACAGTTAAAAGCATATTTATCGTCAAGGGGTCATCAAAGTGGATTTTACCACCAAAAACTTTAACTTGAATTTTTGGACCGAATTCAGTAATTTTCCTCTCCTGGGACTATTTAGTGCTGAAGAAAAGTAATATTTTTTAAATAATCTTCATTGTAAAGAAATACATTTATTAATATTTGGGAAAAAGAAAATAACATTGCAATTCTATGTAGTTTTTTGTATAGCAATTCAATAATATTGAATTTAAGACATGCGCTAACAAATTAAGTTAAACAGGATTAAAAATGCCATCACTAACGAATGAAATTGTCACTATTCAATAGAAAATTTGGCTTTAAGTACAATTTATAATAACGTATTTGAAATGTTAGTAGTCTTCAACAATTTATTATTAACAATTTCTAAATTTTGGTAAACAAGTAAATCAATTAGCAGCTAAAATACTCCTAGGAGAAGAGGAAAATGGCTTTAGAAAAGGAAGGTCAACCACAGATAATATCTTCTCAGTACAACAAGTACTAAAAAAAAGAAGAGAAAATAACATGCTAACTCATCCAGCTTTTATAGATTTTGAAAACATCTTTGGCAATGCCAATAGGGAAAAACTTAGGTGCAGTATGGAAAAACAAGGCATATAAGTGAAATTATAAAACAAAAAGTTGACACTGATATTAAAATAATCAAAGAGAATAGATTAATGATTTTATTAGTATACGCTACTGAAGTCATTGTTATTCAGGAGACAGAAGACAAACTGCAGAGATCAGTACACAACCTTAGTAAAATTAGCAAGCATTGTGGCATGACTATTTGAAATGAAAAACCGAAGATGATGGCATTCAGGGAGAAATATCATATATAGACAAAAATTGTAATTGAAAAGAAAATTCTAGAGAAAGTTCACTCCTTTGATTACTTGGGGGCAAAATTAGTGTTGAAAAGGAAAAAGATACAGGTAGAAAATTGATGAAATATCAAACAGTATGTGGCACTATATACAATATAAAAAAAAAAAAAAAGCAAGGCCAGAAACAAGAATAAGTTTTTACAATACTATATTATTTTGTGTGAAACATTCCCAAAGAACTTTAACAAGAATACAAAGTAGTGAGATGAAGTCTCTGGAAAGAATAAAAGGATGTACAAGAGAAGGCTACATAAGAAATGATGAAATAAGAAAAGAGCTACAAGGGTGCAGTTTGTACTAGAATGCAAGACCACAGACAAAGATGGTTAGAACATGTAGAGAATGAGTGTAGACTTCCAAAAGCAGCTTTATATTAGGCACCAGAAGGAAGAAGAAATGTAGAAAGACCAAGGAAAATATCAGATGGAGATGTACTGTGTGGATGGAATAAGCAGTAGCCTAAACCATTAAGTGAAGAAGTAAATCAATTAGTATATCCACAATATTCTACTTTGTCTATTAGTGATAATTTTTCAAAATAAATCAACTTCTTGATGAAAAAAATTGAAATTTTGTTTAATATTTCTAGTTTCCCAGTTTCTAATTTGATCAGGATGCACACTGCAACATATAAAAAAATGTCATCCTTTTGAAAACATGCCAGTCATTGACAGGAATCTTTTCATGGTTTGCAAAGCATTATATGCTTAACTGTTCTTAAAATTTGGTTTGATTATAAACTGTAATATAAATAAATTAAATTATACGTTCTGAATAACTTGTTTAATTTAATAATACTGTAATTAAATAGTCCTAATCGAAAACAAAATTCCTTTCGCAATTACCACCAGTAATAATTTTATTCATTTCAGTTTTTACGAGGGCCCCGACTTTCACAATATCTGTTACTGTAAATAATTAATATCTGTGACGCGGTCGACTATAACAATTCTTGCACATTTGAAATGTTTACATTTCAAAGCATTTACATTGAACCAGTCAACTATTGGTGACATTACAATGCAAAATCTTTAAAATGTTCATTTGACCAACGTAACACTTTTGTACACCGTTGTTTTACGCTACGCAGGATTGGTAATTAATGAACCTTTTGCAAAAATTGTTAATGCGATGGACATTTTAATACCATTTCAAATCCACGCTATTTATTTATTTTATTTTTCACAGAAATGTGATTGTTTATTGCCAACACTTAAGTATAGTTGGCTACTTGGGAACAAAATGTAATCGGTTCAAGTTGCAAACTCCGAGGTATTTTGATCCGACTTGCTATTCATCGTGTCGTGCGGGATTCTGCGAGTAATTGGGAACGGAGTTTGTTACTTATTTTGTGTTGTTCATATATACACGTTTCTGTGAAGAGTGATTGTTTTCACAATGTCTATCTTAGCTTATAATGGAGGTGCTATAATAGCAATGAAAGGAAAGAATTGTGTGGCAATTGCATCTGACAAGCGGTTTGGCATTCAAGCCCAAACGCTTTCGTGTAATTTCGACAAAATTTTCGAAATGGGCCCTCACTTGTACATCGCACTTCCTGGCCTAGCTACTGATACGCAAACTGTTCAGCAAAAGTTGAAATTTAGGCTGAATTTGTACGAATTAAGAGAGAATCGTCGCATTCATCCGAAGGCGTTTGCTTCTATGGTATCAAATTTGCTGTATGAAAGAAGATTTGGGCCTTTTTTTGTTGAACCTGTTATTGCAGGTTTAGATCCGAAAACTTTTGAACCTTTTGTATGCAATTTGGATCTAATAGGGTGTCCAAATATACCAGAAGATTTTGTTGTTGGAGGTACTTGTTCTGAACAACTGTATGGTATGTGTGAAGCATTATGGAAACCTGATCTTCTTCCCGATGAACTGTTTGAAACTATATCACAAGCTCTTTTGAACGCTGTGGATCGAGATGCAATGTCAGGCTGGGGAGCACGTGTATACATCATTGAAAAAGATAAGATTGTTGTCAAAGAATTGAAGACAAGAATGGACTAATTTTCATACAATGGTTTAATCTTTTTCACTAATTTTGTGGCTGGTTATGAATGAAAATGTTCTGTTCATGTTTTAAGCTTAAGTATGCATGAAAATAATTGACTTATTTGAGTTGCATTACTGTATTGTGTACTTTGGAGGTTGCTAATGTATTGACAGTCTGTAATTTCATTATCTTTATTATCACCAGACACTGAAATAAAAACATTTAAGTGATGGATTTGTGTTATTTAAATGTCACAGGATATGGAAATTGGCAGATGGCGTTGTCTGAATTGTGCTTCAAAGAAAACACTTACCTAAGAATTTTGCAACTCTGTTAATGATTGTCACCTCGGTAATTTTAATAGCTTAGTGATCAGTGCAACTGAGCATAAACCAGAAGGCACAGAAGGAATTTCCAGTTAGGGTGCCTATTGATTTCATATACTTGAATTTGAGTTTAACAATTTTTTAAAAATTTTTTTAGTTTTTTTCTTCTAATTCTTATTTTGTACATAATGCTTTCACTTAAGTTAAATATAAAATTTACTATTTATTGTTCTTAACAGACTGCATGCGCATTTTAAATTGGATGTGATACTTGAGAGTTTCATTATAAGCTTTATGTATAATGGAAGGTTGTTTAATCACTTCGTTTAAACTATTGTACTCATAGGGGAATATATACACCCAAGATTTGAGAGGAACTTTGTGATGCTTAAGTTCTCTTGAGAGTAAATATATCAGTTCAGGTAAAGAAATGAAAGATGCTTTGTTTTGATAAATTTAAAAGTGCAAAAGTTTGATTGGTTGGTATTTACTTATTTATTGGTGTAATAAGACGTAACAATGGCAGCTTCAGGGCTGACCATAAATTACTTACCACTAAAGAAGCGGTGGGAAAGTGTTCGAGGCAGCATTACTCTGCATTATCTAGGTGTTGGTTTAGTCATATGTAACAATTTTTTTCCTGTCATTTGTTGAAGTAATCCCCTTTCTTCAGTCATACTCTAAAATGTTATGTGTAAATTGTAACAATGAAAATATTTTTTTAAAAATGATTTGACTGAATTTGTTGATTATGAAAATATTTAAAACAGAAACTACATTTTATAATTCAAATAAATCGGTACTGATTTACTTTGCAAAATGAAGAGACATTCACACGGACTAGTATTAAATAATACAATTAAGGAAAAGTAATCTCAACTTAGAAAGATTGTCTATAATTAGTAATTTAAATGATGAGGTGAATTGTAAATGCAAATCAATATTATTATATCATTCCTTGTTTAGTTTTTCTTGTTGACATTTGTTACCTTGATAAAGAAAAAGGTGTTCATCTCTTGTATAATGTACCACACTTCCAACATATATAACAGTTCATAATATTGTGATTAGTGTGGCATTTTGGTTAAGGAATTGCAGGTGAAATTAAATTTTCCATGATCGCAACAAAATAGCTAGTACATAGGTAAATATGTTTTTGAGAAATAAACGCTTTAAATTAACAGATGTAACCACAATCTAATTTAATGTTTTTAAAACTATGGGAAATTCTGGAATTCAATCTCAACAGATTAGAACACACACTTCTGCCGAAATTAAATTACAGAAATTACATATATCATGTGTGTTAAATAAAAGAAAGGTTCAATCTGATAAAAATTTTGAAATATAGGAAAGTAAAAAATTGAGCAATCAGTTTTTGAAGGGGTTTAAACATCAGCACTCAATTCAGGCTTCTTACCAACTGCACTTTTATACCCCACTAATGTAGACCTATCAGGTACTAATAGTACACAACCGAACTGCATGCTTATTTAAATCTAAATGCACTGAAAAATACTTGTAGGAAAATTCAATAGATTGCAGCACTCATGGGAATTTACTTCACAGATAAAAGTCTGAACCAATGGTCCGATTTTCAATCTGTAAACTTTATTTACACCTTTTTGAAATAGTCAGGATTTCATAGTGTGATACCAACCAATACTACAGATGCTTGGAGTTTGTCCTGAAGCGGTGCTTCTATCAAAAGAGTGATGTGTTGTTTCCTTAAGTTGATCTAAACTCAAAATGCAATTGCCTACTTTTTTTAAAAGCTCATAACTTCACCACAGAATCAAAAATAACTACTGCTTTTATTTTGAATTGTCATAGGAAACAAAATGTATATTTTTAGTATTTATAGAGGACGTTGGGTTGAAAATTTTCGAAATTATATCTTTCAAATTAACTCAAAAGTTTGTGTACATATAGAGAAACTTTTCTAACTTATAGTGGTACATGCATCTTTGTTACAAATAATATTAATTAAGTGTCAATCACAATTTCTCCTCTCTCTTGAAAGATAAAAACTTTGAAATATCTATTATAGATTTACCGAAACAAAGTGTATGGGTTTTATGTACATACGCAGGAAACAAAATGTTTTCTTAAAAATCTTGAAATTGTTCTTGTCAAACTTATAAGACGCAGAAACTATAAAATAATATTATGCAGTGATTTCAATATAAACTGTGAAGAGAAAGTATGCAAAAATTTACTTAAATCTTTCAACTCAAACAGTTATGAATCAACCTACCAGAATATCTAAAAATCTAATACCGCCATTGATTAAATAATAATAGACCCAAATAATTGCAGCTATTCAGTTGTTACATGTAACACAGGGTTCAGTTACCATACAGTGCAAATACTGAAACTCAAAATGGACACAAAAGTTATTAACGGAACACTTTATACAGAAAACCGAAAAGGAAAATGTAGACTAATTTAACTCTGTTAAAAGTTCAGAAAACTGGGAGGAGGAATACAAAGTTATTTCAACACTGTTTTCCCACAAGCACTGAAAAAAATAAAATCCGAAACCCACAAATCATGGCTAACAAAAGGAATCAAAATGTTATGTGAAAGGAAACAAATCATGCATGAAACAATCCCTTCACCATGAATGTAGCTTCTGATTTCATTGCTATTACAAAACATTCAAAAGTATTTTGAAGAATGTAATTAAACAGGCAAACTATTATGAATGATCAATGAATTGCCCAAAGCAAAAACAAAACAAAAGTAATGTGGAACATGTGAAAAATACACTACTTAAAAAGCAAGAACATTAAGAACATTGAACTGCACTACACAAAATATGTTCTACTAACCCAAAGCAGTACCAACACATTCCATAGACATTCTTCAGAAAATTGGCAGAAAAATTAATTCATTAGCAAACTCTTAAATAATATAATTTGCAATCCAAATATCACACATCATACAAATGTAATACTCCAATCCTCTGTGGGGAAAGCATCACCTATCAGAAATACAAAAATCATAAATCAAACGAAAAACAAATTCTCTACAAGACTGGATAATATCCCTGACTCCCTCATTAAACATGCTGCAACAAACATAATAGAACCCCTCACATTTGTAATCACTCCTTAATGACAGGTATCTTCTCAGAAATTCTCAAAAAAGCAAAATTAAAGCCACTATTCAAAAAAGGCAACTCTCTCTCTCTCTCTCTGACCGATATCCGTACTATCTGGATTCTCAAATATTCTAGAAAAGCTTTTTAATGATACACTCAAAAATTGTCTCAATTCAAATAACATTGATAGAGCCCCAACATAGATTCAGAAATGGTATTGAATTGAATTTGCCTTATTTTACGTGGCGAGATGGTTTACATGGTAGACCTACAGACAGTTATCTTCACCTTTCTAAATGTCATACTTGTTGCTGTGTATCAGAAAGAAATCCCCATTGGTTTGTTTCTAGATTTATCAAAGGCATTCAACATTATTGACCATCACATATTGTTATCCGAACTTGAAACTTTAGGAATTAGAGGTATTACTCACGAATGGGTTGAATCTTACCTCTCAAATTGTTGTCAAGTAGTCACAATCAAGCATGTTAGAGATAAAATGATTTCTATCCATTTTTCCCAACCTAAAAGAATAAATTATGGAGTGCCACAAGGATCAATTCTAGCCCCCATACTATTTCTATTATACATCAATGACATTTTCCTGTCCCTACAAAAGAGCAAAATTGTCCTATTTGCAGACAACACAAACATTACTATTAAAACAAATTCCCAACAAACTCTTCAAAAAGAAGCACAAACAGTCCTTGAGGTACTAGTAAAATGGTTCCCAAAAATGAACTCGTCAAAAACTGTCTTCCTAAACTTTCGGATTCCACTCTCTAAAGAAGCACAACTTACGATAATCAACATGCCTTCATAAATAGCCCAAAAAACAACCTTTGATTGACTATTCAAGATGATCTAAAATAGAACTCCCATATTACAGATCTAAACAACAAGCTTACAAAGTCATGTTATGCCACATACATCCAGAAGTCAAATTCTATCTTTGATACATTGCGAATGGTGTACTTTGTTGATGTTCACTTGCATCTAAAATACGGAATAATATTCTGGGGAAATTCCCCAGAAAGTATTCACACTTTCATCATCCAAAACCAAATATTGAGAACAATGACAAAAACTCACAAACATGAGTCCTGCAAACCACTGTTCAAAATATTACAAATACTACCACTCCCATGCATGTACATATTTGAAATATTAATCTTCACAAAGAAGACACTTATGGGAAACAAGGATTCTGTTACTCTGGGCAGAGAAGTTCATAACTATGATACTAGAAAAAAAATATATCTGCATGTTCCACACACTGAAACTTCACTCTTTCAAAAAAGTACCCTCATAGAAATCATTACACTATAATAAACTTCCTAGTGAATTTAAAAGCTTTAACTCGATACACACATTCAAAAATAAACTAAAAGCTTTCCCGTTAAACCATAAATTCTACAGTAAAAAAGAATATATACATCATAAACACATATCTACATCAATATTAACTAGTAATTTTTGCATTTTCTGTTGCAGGTTTTCAAACCCCCCTAAACTCGTTAGATATAAAGGACAGACCCTGCCTAGGCACAAATCTATAAAGTCTTCTTTTTCCTCTTTCTTTTTTAAAAAAATATTATTATTGATTTTTAACTTAAGTCTTTTCACACAACCATCTATAAAATTAATTTGCATTCCATGATATTGTATTTAATACGAGAATTGAATTTTAATGTTAATTTAAGTCTTGTATTTAATTTTTAGAAATATCTGTATTGCGTATTACAGGATTATATAAATATCTTGACTTGTCATACATGGCATATGCTGTAGTTATGTGTAAAATATATTATAATAACTCTGCCCTTCAAGGCCCTATTTCATGTCCGAGAAAGGTGCAAAATAGCGACATGTCACCATGAAGGGGCCTGCCTTGAGGGGCAAATTTGGAAAAATCTTAACTTAGTTCTACTTTCTTCTATAAAATTTGTTTGTGTTCACATTTAATCGTTTCAGAGGTCTGTAAAAATAATATTTTATTCTAGAATCAAAGTCTGTACATTAAATTCAATCAGAATAGAAAGAACAGCTTGTCAATTTTCTAAATTTTAAACAGCCGTTCATTCAATAGTCATTGAGAAACATTTAGGCAAACTTAATTCCCCATTCAAATTTTACTGTACTCAATGTCCTTACGATTTCTTAAATTACCAAATTTCATTTCCATAGGTTTCATAACATTATCTTCCCATTGGTGTGCAAAAATTATAAAAATAAAGTGAAGAAATTCTTTGAGTAAAAGAAAATATATTTACAGTGAGATTTACAGTTTTACAGAATATATTTTTATAAATAAAAACATCACATATACATATAACAACATATAAAGAGAAACAATAATTAAAAACCAACAATGTTCAGAGACAATGCTGGAACAGTCTTCTCTGAGTACTTCAATAGTAGATCAGGCAATGTACATGGCATCCCTCTCCATTTGAAGTATATAAGTAAAAGGAAACTTCTTTTACAAAGAATGTGCAATTCTGTTCCTCCATCTGCAATCTTTACACAGATATTCGGAGGTTCAATGATTTAACTCAGGACTAATTTATCCAATAACAAGTTGATGTGTGCCTCATTTTGAAACTTCAGTGTCTGCCACAACTTGAATTATGCAGGTATGACCACCAGCAGATAGAGATGTTCTGAATCAGTCATACAGCATGATGTGTGCAATTGCTACTTAGTATGCAAATGTAACACATGTGATTTCTGGAATGCATCACATCACCCTTCCATATCATCTAGTTTTCTTTTCACGGGAAGTTCAACAATGGGAGAATTATTTTTAAGAGCATTCTTCCAAAAAAAGTATGACTCCAATCTTTCCACAGCATATTCCTACAATAAACAATATTTATTATATCTACCCAAAACTGGACATCACACAAAAGCAATGATTTAAGTATCTGTAATGATTTATATTCACATCAAAATACTTACCCAATACCCAAATGAAATTGAAGAAATTCTTGCATTAACAGAACTCCACAGACCCCAGAAGAAGTGTGAAGCTAGAGTGAAAGCATGTACTTCATGCAAAAGTGCCAGTTCTTCTTCAGAATTTATGTGTAATCTTTCCTGCTCTTTCCTCAAAGCTCTCAAGTAACTCCTTATGAACAGCAGCTGTTGAAAACAAACATCAGTTTTCAAAATTGTGCAAAAACAAAAATCATAATTCCAAGTCATTAATTACTTTTAACAAAGAAATACTAAGGAAACTGTGAACTTATAGGAAGGGTTTCAAAAGGGAGTCCTGAAATTCAACTCTAATCAACAAAAGGTCTAAAAAAAGAAAGGTAAAAGTCACTCTACAAAAGGGAAATATTAAATTATGAAATCTGGTTATATACAAACAATTTAAACCCATAACATTTTTATTAGTGATAAATTAAAATTATTAGTTTGACTAACTGGAATTTGGAATTTTCCAGAACACTTCCCCCTTAGAAATAAAAATTAAATTTCAACCCAAACATTGACTTCATGGACTTATTCATGTTAAAATCATGAAGGTTCACGATAAACTAAAAATGCATGCTTTTCATGCGATCAAATAGATTAAGATTTTAATATGGACAATAAGCAATACATCTTTCTCTACACACATTTTTATTAATATTACTTTTTTTTATTGTAGATTAAAATTTCCAAGAATAAACAAATTTTTAATGAATTAAACTGCTTCAATCCACCTGAAATCTAAGTATTGATTATGTTCTATAAGTTGATAGTGTGTGATGAATTGTTCTCATATTACAAAGCAAATTCTAGGAGAGGATCATAGGACTAATAATCATAAAAAAATAATACACTTAACTTCTACCAAATTTAAAAATCCCAAAACTCAAATTCAAAGTTAAGGAATGGTGTCAGAATGTTTCAGAGAACCAACAAATTAAATTAAATTGTTCAGCTTTAATGAAAGGAGAAAAAACCCAATTTTTATCATTATCATTTCAGAATTTGTTGAATGAAATGTATTGAAATGATTTCCAACATTTGAAGTAAACTTTTGAATAAGACTACTTTCTATTATTTTGCAAACTCACAAAACAAATATTTAATAATAATTTACCCAAATTAATTACCTCACATTTGGAAATCATTCTTTAAAACTTTCCTTCATAAAAGGTACATTTGCAAGGAGAACATTCAGGAAGATGTAATATTGTAAAACAAAATCTTTGTAAATAAGAATGTAACAGCTGATATCTCCAGAAGAGTGATGGAATCAAGACATTAGAACATGAGAGTGATGCCTTTTACCCCCATTCTTGACCAACAACAAAACCCCCAGACGATTCTGATACTCCACTTCTTTAATTTTATATTATAATTTTGATTTTACTCTGCTTGGCAGTTGCTGTGCAGTATGCACCGCAGAGCCCTTCCTCCTCCTCGAGGTAGACCACACAGACTGCAGTCAGATGCTCCAATTGTTCGGTGATACAATCACTCATTCGCTCAGCAAACACCGAACTGGGAAATGGAAGCATACAAAAACACAAGACGAATCGAGACACGTGTCCCACAGCATTTTCTGATTACAAATTATATTCTGCAGTTTCATCTGCAAAAAAACTGCATAAGCACGACTTCCTGTTTCTATCTCCAACTAGATACTGGAATACGGTTGGTCTTCAAGATTGCCCATATATTTGTAGATTTAAAAAGTATGAACAGCACATTTTGTAAAAATAGCAACGACAAACTTCATTTTATTAATTTCAAATTAAAACAAAAACAAACAAAAAACAAAAACGCATTTTTGTTCAGTATCCTACAAATACATGGGCAACATTTCTCAGCAATTTCTATGAAACAACTTCTACAAATATACCTTGCATCATAGACAAATTTTTATTTAACTGCTGTTTAGAAGATAAGTCTTTGAAACATTAAAACGAAATTTATTTTCAAGAATATTCTTCTATATGAAACATGCTTAAACACATTTTGTAATGAGATAAAAATACGAGGTGCATCAGAAATGACAAAGATCAAGCTCAAGCATGAGCTTTATCATAAAAAATTAACAAATGATATTAAACAAAAAGTTTCTATAAGTTCTGTGAAACAAAAGCACTATGGTGAAGAAAAACATAAATGGTCATGTTCAAAGTAAATCCCCAAACTTTGAATTGGAAACTGAATTTTCCTCCCCCAAAAACAGCATCGCTTTTTTTTTCCAAACCATAAAATATGACTTCAAAATTCAGAGAGAGAGAAAAAAAAAGCCAGCAATTCACCCAAAGAATCACCAAAATGTTTGATTTCAATTCATCTGAAGTATTCAAAAACTCATGGGACTGTATGTTTTTCAGAAACTGAATTTTTAGTAAATTAATTCTTGAAGCACATCTACATTATTTCACATATTATACAATAATAGTCATTGATTCACTGTTAACAATTGATAATTTTCTGACTACTGTAATATTAACCATTAAGACAAGAAGAATGCTTACTAATTCCCAATGACATTTCAGATGCAACAAGTATTTTTGCAGATAGTGTCATCCTCATCTCAAATTAATAATGTGATTTTCTGTAGATTCTATCTTCATATTATTTCTATAAAGATTTTAATCTTCATCAACCTTTTATGATTATAATTATTATTAGTGTTTCTTTCAAACAATCAAGAGACAACACCACTTAGTACATTATTACTCAAAAACCACCTGCATTTACCTAAATGTATTCATTACGTATTAGATGCTAACTTCGAATTATACCTCAAGAAACTTCTATTACCATTAACCTCACAGAATGACTACTGGCCAAGTATCATGTGTACTAAAAATCACGCATTTTGCAAAGCTGGTGAACCATCCAAATGGCTCGATCTTCAAACAACATTGCTTACAGAGGCAATGGGATATGGGGGACTGAAACAATAATATACAAAACAAACAACGAACTTCAAATGTACACAAAACCAGTGAATAATTCACTGAGAATGGACAAATTCAAGAGTCCTATATAAAATGTAGAGCATCCCAACAAACCCAACCACTTACTAATTGTATTTCATTTCCTGAAATATAAGTTCACACTGAATAAAGCAAATATGATACATTGAGCACATGGAATGATCACATTCACCCATGTGCAAAACTGAAGTGTTTAATCATGCATTTTCAAATAAAGAAAGTTTATTATGACCATAAGCAAGCTGACAATTAGTTGAGGTATGCATGCTTCTAATACATTATTCTAGGTAAAAATTGAACTACTGATATTTCGATAACAAATATTCTATGAAAAATACAAATGCTTTTCCTGATCTTCCTAATAAAAGACTGCATGAACAGACAGACATCATGAATGCTATACAAATATATTCAATGCAATTATGTTAGGTTGAGATGCTCAATTAACAGCTCTACAGCAACTCTGACAGTGCCTGCCAGTATAAAATAGTTCCATAATAAGTTAAGATAATTTGTCCATAGTTAACAATGACAAGAACACAATCTGCAAATTTCCCCCCCCAGTCCCAAACTTACCTGTTGTTCCTTAGTAGGGTAGTGCTTGTGACGCACTGAAAAGTAGGGATGTTCTGGATTTGTGTAATCATACATCCATTCAATAAAATGATTAGCCATATCAAAACCACGATAGTTGTATGAACAGTATTCAAAGTCGATTAAAACGAGACGAGTGTCTTCAGATTTTTCATTGAGGAGATCTCCATTCAACAGAAGAATATTTCCTTCTTGCAAATCATTATGACAAAACACAACAGGAGACTGAACTTTTGTCAAAAACTTCCTGGAAACAAAATTTTACTTTTAACATTAGACCTATCGAATTTATATCACAATGAAAACTTTAGTATACATACTTCAACCATTGTGCTTCACTCTTCAAATTGTATGATTTAATTTTCTGAATGAAGGGAAGATCACTTGGCTTTATATCTTCCACATTGTCCAAGTTTGCTTCAACATTTTTCAACCACCTGAATCAAAGAAAGCTGCCACTAGAGACACCTTAAGATTTTGCGTTTACAGTTAACTATAATAAACAATTACAAGATACCTGTCAATTGTGTCCCACAACCATCGTGGCTCCTTACTAATGGGAACATTCATTAAATGTACTTGTGCCATTTTTTCTGCAATTAATGGACTGATGATTGAATTACTCAATTCACTGCTATGAAGAGCTCTAGCCTAAAACATTTGAAAGAAAATATTATAATTATAACAAAACAAGTGCTTAAAATAAAATAATTTTATTTTCCGCTGAACATACTGGAATATACTCTTCAATGCGTCCTCCAGGGAAAATCCCATGCAATTTAGGTCCAAGATGTCGTTCAGAGAGCAAGGTAAAAATAACAGATTCTGTTATGAGGCCTTCTAATGCTCTTTCTCCATGTATTTGGCCATAGAGCCGCAACAGTATTTGAGATGGTTCAGATCCCTTGGGTGACAGTGATGTTGGCAGTGAAACATGGTACAGCCAGTTGCTTAGTCCCCCACTAGAAACAAACTTAACGTCAGAAAAGAAAAAAATTAAACACATTATTTTATAATAAAAAGTACTGTACCTAATTCTTTTCAAAACTATGTCCTTTGGCGTTATGCTTTTCCATGCACCGTGAAGGTAGTCCCGGCACAATCTGGCAGCCCTCTCGCGCATCTCCGGTCCCTCGCCAGGATTCTAGGAATACATTTAAGGATATTGTAGGAATACAGCAAGACTTCACCTTGAATGTAGGCCAAATATAGATCACGACAATCAAGCACTTATAAACAGGAGTAGAAAGCGAAATGCGAATGTAGTACGTAACAAAATAAATGAAACTTACATAAATACAATATCTTTTACGGTGGAAATGCCCTGGATGTAAGAACCAGGAGTGGCGAAATGTAACCCCTGCATTTCGGGAGATCGATACAAGCCGCAAACATTCCCAAGGCACGGCCATAACGAAAATGGGTGAAGGGTCAATGGAGGAACTCAAATTTCGTATAAAGGACTCTTATGCAACCTCCTAATCAAACTCCATAAAAGGGTAGGGGAAGAGCAATTTATGTCATTTAAGGCGAGTCGCGTCAAGTAAAGAAAATTAGTAGTCACTGGAGAACACGACCGAATGGCTTTCTCTTTCGTGTAACCTTGTAGTGCAGTACAACTACAAATACAAATTGTTAATCTTCTTCCTCTTCTCTACTTGCAATACACGCCAAACCAGAAGGTAATGGATTATACAGCTCGTGACAACAAATAACCACGAAACGGAAGATGAGTATTCAAGTTTGGTGGAAAAAGTGATATAACGAAGAAAAAAAAGATGTTACACAGACGATACTCTCTTACTATTAGCAAACTAAATAAGATTTAGTTGTAGGGCAGGTGTAAGAAAAATATTCAATATATTTAAAACATGCTAGAACCTACCTTCACTCTGATGCCCATTTCAGTAGATTTATTCAAAACACCGAAGATCTCTCTGGTAGCTATCGTTAAAATATGTTTACCAATCGATTGTGAGTGTGTGTAAGTGAAAGACCAACCGATCAATGACACTTCAGATTTAACTACACAGAGGAATCTCCGTCTGCTTTTAACATGAAGACGTCCACAACCTTACTTCTCAGAGTTACTTCAGCGATTACGAAAAACGCTCCACGTCAACAATACGCACTTCTATCAAGGCTATCCGGGTTCCAACTCGAATAACCAGAAATGTCATGCGCAATGTAGTCACCTTCTACGTCATCATAGTTTGTTCAAAACAATGTATTGTGAAATCGTTCTTTTGTTGAAATCGTTCTGAAATCAAATAGAAATAGTGCTCAATTTCGTCAAATAGAAAAAGAACTGTACTATAAGAAGTCACAGCTATAATTTCATTTTGCAATATAAAATTCTTCAGTATATCAAGTTGTTATTGCCGCGAAGTTCAATTACACTGCCCTACTTGCAGATAATTTCTTTCCTCTTATTGTATATCTTTGAAAAGTATGTTAAATTTAAACTAAATGTGCAACAAATGACAGACTCTCTTATACTTCTTTATCTTACTTTCTTACTTTCCTAATCTCTTTACGCCCGCAACAGATCACACCGAGGAATGTTTCCAGAAATGTGCGACGAGAAATGTGGAAAATCGAAACAAAGAATACTTATCATCCCCCGCACACGTTAAGAGTTTTGCTTCTACAAGTACAGAGGCGAAAGAGTTCCTCATTATAATGCGATTTATTCAACTCTGCCCCTGGCAGCTATCAGCTGTTGACGGTTTCATCCAATCGGGAGCTCACACATCACCATAGTGACGTCACTATGGTGACGTTTTAGCTCCCAATTGGATGAAACTGTCAACAGCTGATACCTGCCAGGGACAGAGTTACATAAATCGCAGTATAGAGGGGGTCAGCGAGCGAGTTTTCTCGGACATTTCTACTCTCTTTTGTTATGTGACATTAGCCATACCGCAGGGAAAGGCTAAACAGTGCTTAGAAACGAATAAGGTTATAATATTTACCAGTAAAAGATGTGGTAAAAACCAGTTTTATGAATTTCTTCCTTGAATTTTTTTCTTTAAACGGAAATGAACTAGGAAAAACGTATGAAAAATATTATTTCTTGTAAGAAAGCAATACATAATGAGCAATATAAAAATTAAGATTTGAAGTGAAGTAAGTGAAGACGCGAAAGAGTATTTTGAAAGAAATGAATTAATAATTTATTTTTCCTTAATGTACATTTATTTATCAATTAATTTATTAACTGTGAATTTCATTATGAATTATTAGATCTTTCACCATTTATTCATAATTCAACCAACAAATATAGTAAAACAGACGATAGAAATATCGGAGCCCAAGAAAATTTGCATAAAGACATAGATTGTACCTCTTTCATATACGTTAAATACTACAGTTCCTTTTTTAACATTAAATAATTATGTATATGCATTTCTCTTTAGGCAATTCGAACTCAGATAATGTACGATTATGTTAACAAAACAAGGATTTTACGGGACAAAAATTACACAAGAGCATTTAATAAAACAAGAAATAGGACTCGCAGCTGATCTCATAGCAAACTGCAGTTACCACTCTTGGCTTGTGGCACATAAAAGCATTTCGAGTCATCGAATGACATATTTCTTGTGTGTAGACGCAGCCTCACCAGCGTCTTTCCTCATTTCTCGTCAAACATATCTGGAAACACATTCCTCGTTGTAGTCTCCTGCGGGGCTAAGTATGAGCTGGATTTTCGGTATTCTTACGTTCTCCCCAGCTGCTACCATTCAGGCCCTAAGACACACAAGAGCACATCTTCATCATACACACACACACAAAGAGGTTTCGGGAAACTTCATGAAAAAACCTTTGAAGGATTTGTTCTCACAAACTCCTATAATGTTCACATTATCGTCATGATATATGATATAATAATAAAATACATTTGTGTAATTTTTTAACTATAAAAATTATAAATCAAAGTGGTGTTTATGACGTGTTATTCAGTACATTAAGGACCATGAACGAAAGTTTAAAGAAAAAACTGGAACGGTTTTTAGAAAGTTTTGCTTTTATTATCGTCTCTAATATTATTTCAGTAGTATACATATCTTTTACGGCCCTCACAAGCAACCGATCTTTATACATGTTTAAGTAAAAGTCTCTGAAGAAAGATAAGTTGTGGAGACGTAACAGATTGCACTTTGACTTTAAAATTATGAAGTACGAGATACTACATCTATGGCTCTGCTTTGAAGGATGACATGCAGCGTTTTATCCCTATATGTAGTGACGACGCAAGTCCAAAATTCCGCCAGGATATTAATGTTTAAAATATTAAACAATTTGCATTTATTGAATTATTATCCTTTGATTACAGATCTCAATTTTGTAGAAAGTTCTTGTGTATGGAAAATAAGTCGGCTAAGCTAAATTTAATTTCATTTATCAAAGTACTCTTATAAGTCCAGAAGGACTCCTTTAGTGAAAACGATATCTCTAGCCTAACTGGAGAAATATGTCGTAGGCAAGTAAGAAATTGATAGATATTTTATTTAAATAAACTTCGAAAACGTACTTTAATTTTCTATATTTGAGATATCTTTGAATTATAATAATATTTAATTAACAATTTTGACAATTTATTTTAATTAAAATCAACTCAAAATAAAATATGCACATTTTAAATTTGTTTACGAGACCAGTAGCTTACTGCTGCAAAAATAAAATAAATGAAAAGGTCAAATTTCGGTAAATTTGGTGAGGAAGTATACATAAAATAAAATTATCTCAGTAATTACCTCTTTATTTGGCACTGAATTTTTGCAACTTTCTTTCATTTTTGTTTCCATCATGTTTGACATTTTTCATTTTGGTGTAATTATCTAAAATAATATTTGATAGCACATAACAAAGTCTCAAGAGTCTCAAGTCTGTAAGAAATGCCACACACATACAGAATGGAGATCAATATGGTAGCTACCGAATTAAATATTGGCAATGCAAAGTTTTGCAAGAAGACATTTTGGTTTGGTATGTAGTGTAATGGGAGGGTTGCGCGCGTTATGTGGCGACGCGTATTTTATGAAATTATATTGTGTATAACGTTTCTACGAAAAGACGCCAGGAAACGCACATATTTTCTCTACCTGCAAGCGTGTACCTCAGGGTCGCTGAGGAATCCAGCTCTCTTGTCTCTGCGCAACCCACATCAGGCCGCATCCGGTGACCCATGGGGAAATACGTACGCCGTTGCCACGCCCCACGTTGGACTTCCAGAGACAGGGTCATGACCGTCCGGAAGGACTAATGATGCCCGGTGGCCAATGATGAACTCCGGCCAGTACGGCCGTTTAAGATAAGATTACGTTTATGATAGTTCATAAGAGTAATTTTAGCATGAGGCTTCACCTCGACCTTAAAAAAGGATCATTAAATAATTTTAAAAGAAATTAACAATGTGTTTGAATGTAGTGGTAGTATTAGAGTTAGCTCCATCACGCATACATCCCTCTAGGGAGTCTGCAGATTGAGCAGCCGGGGCAACGCTGGATCGGACGAAATACAGGTAGTCAGGTGAGTTCTACACGGAGGGTGTGGTCACACTAGTAAGACACTTTTCTTCCATACTTTTCTTTTTATTATGAACTCAAACAGCAGACAAGTGGAAAAAATCCTTACTTCTGATGGGATTCAGAGCCCTCCTCTTTGAAGATAATCAAAATATTGAAGATAACTACAGTACCAGCAGCGTGTAAGCGACTCTGACAGCTCAATGTGGTGTTGCCACACATTACTACGCACATGATTCCACCTACATCACAAATTTATTAAATTAAAAAACGATAACTTACTGACAGGTAATGACACATAATATCGTGTTCACAACGTTCGCCAGAGAAAAACCTTATCGCCTCCGCTACTTTGTAGCAGGAAGATGAGTGGCAACGCTGAACCCTGACTGTAAGAAAAGAAACAAATCATCGCAAGCTGATTGCTTCGGAGCAGTTCACATGACATACCTCAAGAGGTGGCGAGAGAACTGTCAGAATCGCTTACACGCTGCCGGTACTGCAGGTATGACTCCCTATCTCGTTGGTTGTCCTTTACAGCACACATGTATCTATTCAACATGTTTTCAATTTGTGACTATCTTTCAAGAATTGACGGCTCGGTCAAAATCCACCCTAAATCTTAGCCAGTGAGTTCAGTTTCCTACATACATTTCTCTTCTAGTTTTGTACTCACGACTATACTATTTACTACACTACGATATTTACATGAATCATTTTTTACATTTAATACATAAAAGCACACACTTCAAATGCTTCACTGACCAGCCTCGTAAAGAAAGCTTCTGGTTTAGTTATAAAGTCACTGAAATGTAATAAGTCTAACACCACTTTCATCGCTTTCAAAAGTCCATTTTCAATTTCTTCTCGTCGTTTTGTTGAATCTTTTCGGGATGCCGATAGTTCCAAAGACGGAGCATTAAGGAAAATTTTGGGTACGACAAAAGGATTTCAACAGTGTTTCTTTTGCTATGACGGTAGTGATCTCTCCAAATAATATAGTATGAAGAAAAATGTGTTCTGCACACCACTGAAATTGATGTTGGCGTCCATTTTTCTTCGAAATGTACGTCTTTCTCCTTCCCACACTGTTTTGGAAGCCGAATGTGGAAATGTGCCCCACCTTCTTTAAGGCAGTATTGTAATTAGAATGACAAAGATGTACACAACATCGACGTGGCATCTGAAAAGCATTGCACTTCAATGCTTAGTTTAATTTATTATATGAGCATTCAATTAGCTATTATTTATGAGTTTGTTAATAATTATTTATTACTACAATTTCAAAACCTATATGAGAAGATTTGAACATTATTAGAAGTGTGGTTTTAACCACCACGTGCACCAATAAATATTGCATTTACTTACCGCTGGAAG